GAATGTATTTTTTTTTAATGAACGTGATAAGGTGAAAGCAAGACATACACAAAGGAAAAAATATTTTTTATTATTATTACAAAGTTATATTAACCAAACCATTTTATTTTATTTATTTTTTGTAACATTTTACGTTGTACACACAAAATGTAAACTCGATGAAGGAATTTTGAGGATTATATTATAGTATTATTATCATTGAATGTTCAATTCGTGGCTAAATTCATTCAACGGTCTTATGCATTAAATATTCAACATTTGTAAGTTCATAGAAGGTCCCCAATTTTGACTTCAATTAGTCGCTTGCCAAATATTTTACTAGCTATCCTAACCTAAGCACTTAAACAAAAAAAAGAACACTACATATTTTTATTGCATTAAAATAATATAATTCCCAGAAATTTTCATATTTTTATTACATTAAAATAATACAGTTCCAAAAGATATGTACTTTTATAAATATAAGTTTTTTATAGTAATTACTTTTAAATAAAAAAAATTATATAATTATTTTTGTAAGTTGACAAATGATACCAGTTTATTATGTAAAATTGGTTTTTNCTAAATTAGCTCTTTTATTATCTTCAAAGGCTACAAATTCATATATGAATTATATAAACACATAATTTGGTGGAGAAGCTCAGAGAAAATCTTATGAACCGTACACTATGGAACAAATTTACAAATACATAAGAACTTACAAATTTTGTGCCAAAAGGTACATGTGAGGATTCTGGATTGTTTAACATTCTATAAATCTTTCAAAAGGAAAAGATGGCGGTCTCTTTTACAAGAAAGAACTCATTTGTTCAAATCTTTGAGCTTTCTCTAGTTGACCATTGCGGGTAAGTAGTTGCACCAAAATTGCAAAGTGTTCCTTAGATGCTTCAATTTTATATTTAGGCATTAAATTGAAGATTCTACAAGCATCATCAACAAATCCAGCTCTGTCACATATAGATAGAATGGCTGCAAAAGTGAAGTGATTCGGAGAAGATCCCATATGATCAAAAAGGCTAATTGCATCGTGATACAGTTCATTATATCCATACGCCTTTATAAGAGCAGTCCATGTTATAGAATCTTTAACGGGGACTGCATTAAACACCAACTTAGCCTTGTTAACATCTCGAAATGAGCCATACGTATTTATAAGTTCTGCAGAAACAAAAGGAAATGATACAAAGTTCTTTTTCAAGATCTGCCCATGAATCTCCTTCCCAAGCTTTACAAGTTTTAGTTCACCACAAACACTCAACATCCTTGCTATAGCAACAGAATCAGGCCTGTACTTTGTCAATTGCATTGATCTCATCACACCAAGTGCTTCACACAGATGTCCATTTTTTATCAATGAATCAATCATGGCAGTCCACGAAATCACATTCCTTTCTTCCATATTATCAAATAATCTTCTAGAATACTCAACAACACCACACTTAGAGTACATCATCATCAATTGAGAAGTTATAGACACATTAGGCAGAAACCAACGTTTCAAAGCATAAGCATGAATTTGCCTCCCTTGTTCCAGAGCCCTCAATTGTGCACAGACTGGAAGAACAGTCGCAATCGTCACCATATCAGGCTTGAATCCTTCTTGCTGCATCCAAATGGTGGACCTCAATGCCTGCTCAAGTTTTCCATTCACAGCATACCCCGCCATCAGAGCCGTCCAACAAACCACATTCCTCTCCTTGGAACCATAAAAAACCCGTCTAGCCGAAATCATATCCCCACACTTGCAATACATATCAATCAAAGCAGACTGAACCGGCACCTGCTTAGAGTAAGATTTCGTTTTCAAAACATAAGCATGAAACTCATGACCCAACCTCCTTGCACAAACCTCCCCAACCACAGGAACCGCAATTGCAATCACAACCGAATTCGGCTTCACTCCCTCCTTCACCATCCACCTCACGTACTCCAACACCTCCCTCTGCATTCTATTGTGTGCAAACCCAGCAAGCATCGCCCCCCACGCGACAATATCCCTCTCAGGAATTTCCTCAAACACACGGCAAGCAAGCCTAACCTTCCCACACTTGAAGTACATATCAATTAAACTGGTTCTAAGAATGTAGTTATCAAAAAATCCATTCTTAATCAAAAGCGCATGAGTCTTCAAGCCTTCCGAAAACGCCGATGCGCCGGCGAAGCTCTTGATCACATTGGAGAAACTGTACACATTCAGCTGAACCCCCAATGCCCTCATCTCCGCATAAGTCTTAAGCAACTCAATGTACTGCCTTTCCCCAGAAACCACAGTCCCTCTGAGCAAAGCGTTCCAGGGGTAGACACTCTCACAGGGCAATCCATCAAACAGTTTACGCGCCTCTTCCGACGACCCACATGAGGTGTACATTTGAACCAACTTTGTCCGCAAGAAGACGTTGTTTTCGAGTCCATTGATTCTGATATGGATGTGAACTTCCCTCCCTTGTGATAATGACTTGGTACGTATGCACGCGGCGATGACAGAAGAGAAAGTTGTGGCATCCACGGGAATGCCACGTTGGTCCACGTAGTCCAAGATGGTCAGAGCTTCCTTGAGCTTGTTCTCGCGAGCGAAACGCTTTATGTCTTTGTAGATGAAGATTGGGTTTTTGTTGTGGAGAGGTAAGGAACACGGAAACGCGTCCTTTTCTGTGAACGGTTTTATCTTCTTGGTCCTGTGCTTTCTGGGAGTGGTGAATCTGGGAGGTCTCCTTTGCTGGGTTTTGGAAGCTGTAAAGCTGAAGACTTGGAAAATGTTGGGTGTTGAGTTTTGATGGAAACCCAAAGAGAGAGATGAAACAGAGTTTTCCATGGCTAACTCTTACCTAACAGAGGATTTCTTTTCTGCTGCATGCTTTTAGCAGAACACTAGATGTCAGATATTTTTTCTGATGCATGTCTTTTAGCATAACATTATCAAACTGCTATTTTTTTTAGGATTAATAGCCAATTTAGTCTCCACTTTTATTGAAAAATCTCAATTTAGTCTCTCGTTATAAAAGTGTTTTACATTAGTCCTAACTTTTAAAATAGTGGGTCAGATTGGTCCTTTCGTTAAATATAAGTTAACGAAATTAAAGGATGATGATGTGACACAGCTTAAAGCTGATGTGTTAGATTGGTCCCTCGTTAGCTTTAAGTTGTGTCACATCATCATCCATTAATTTTATTAACTTATATTTAACAGAAAGGACCAATCTGACCCACTATTTTAAAAGTTAGGACTAATTCAAAACAATTTTATAACGAGGGACTAAATTGAGATTTTTCAACCAAAGTGAGGACTAAATTGGCTATTAAACCTTTTTTTTATTCAGTTTCAAAATTAAAGAAAAATTAAAATATTCTTCATAGCCTAAGTTAGTTAAAATCATCTTTTATACAAACTAATATGAGAGAAGTTCAAAATTACTTTATATAAATTAATTTTAATTTATAAAAGGATGTTATGTCTCTTATTTTCTTCTTCCATATGTTTGGAAACATTCGCAACATTACTCCAATTACTTCAACCACCAATAAAACAATACAACTTAATCAACATTTTGATATTTTTATAAATAACGTAGAATGTATTTTTTTTTAATGAACGTGATAAGGTGAAAGCAAGACATACACAAAGGAAAAAATATTTTTTATTATTATTACAAAGTTATATTAACCAAACCATTTTATTTTATTTATTTTTTGTAACATTTTACGTTGTACACACAAAATGTAAACTCGATGAAGGAATTTTGAGGATTATATTATAGTATTATTATCATTGAATGTTCAATTCGTGGCTAAATTCATTCAACGGTCTTATGCATTAAATATTCAACATTTGTAAGTTCATAGAAGGTCCCCAATTTTGACTTCAATTAGTCGCTTGCCAAATATTTTACTAGCTATCCTAACCTAAGCACTTAAACAAAAAAAAGAACACTACATATTTTTATTGCATTAAAATAATATAATTCCCAGAAATTTTCATATTTTTATTACATTAAAATAATACAGTTCCAAAAGATATGTACTTTTATAAATATAAGTTTTTTATAGTAATTACTTTTAAATAAAAAAAATTATATAATTATTTTTGTAAGTTGACAAATGATACCAGTTTATTATGTAAAATTGGTTTTTGTAATTTTAATTGTATTTATTAAGATAAAAACACTAAAATAATGTAGTTTCTTTTTAAAATTATTAAAATATAATAAATTAAAAAATTACGAAAGTGAATAAATTGTTCTATGATTTTAATATAAAAGATCTTTTATATTTTAAGTTAAAATCATATTAAATCGCAACAACTTTAGTATAATATCTTTTAAACTAAAATCGTATTAAGTTGATATAACTTTAGTTTAATATTTATAAAAATTGTGTTAAACTAACATAATTTCAATTTAAAATATTTTATAATGAAGGAGTGTAAATTTAACATACTTCAATTTTAAAAATGTTTTAAACTAAAGTCACGGTATATTGACATAACTTTTTCGCAATAAAATTGTCAGTTTAATATAATTTCTCTATTTTTGTAATTTTTTTAAAATGTTTTATTTTTGTAATTATCATAAGTTAGACGTATGGAGATAGAAGGAGTCTTCCATCTACATTTAAGTTTTGCTATTAGCCCAATGCACACTCTGCATAACTTTCTTCGCTTCCCTTTGTTTCCTTTTGACACGAAATCAACTTCAGCTGAAAGATACTATACTTTGTATTAAACTAATCTACAAACTTATCTGAAGGACTTTTAAAAAAATTCCAAATCTTGAGACTAATCCAATCACAAACAAACAGTTTTGCTCTTTCTCCCTAATTACCAATACTAGAGAAATTGTGATGCTATCTACAAGTCTAGAACTAGGTAATTAAAAATTAACCAATAACTACAGAGTTTTATGGTGAAGTTTGTATTCTGTGGGTAATGGTTGACAGGTTCTCAGTGCGCAAATTATTTTCAAAGTCTTCTTCTAGTCAACCAGCTATTCTGAGAGCAATTTCTTTGAATCTGTAATTTACATATTCTATATATGCATCAAGTTGGTCCAAATTAAACTCAGAAAGTTATATACGAGTCTATATCCTCCTTACTATCTTACTAGTTTTCTTTGAGACGTTTTTTGAGTAATCTTTTTCATATTATTTGTTCTTCCAACTTCCACTTCAAGTTTCATGGCAAACTATGGAGCCAAACAGAGAATTCCTTCCTCTCCACCACCACCATCATCCACTGACCCTAATGAACGACAACCAAAAGGGTCTCAAGAAATTTTCTATGCCAACTTCAGAGTCTACTGCCCCATCAACATACCACCATCATCAGAAGCTGCAGGAGTCCGAGTCATGAGAAACATAGGGAGTTTTGGCTTGTACTACACACTCTTCGTGTGGATCATACTCTTCATAACCCTCATCCCTAGCCGTAAGGTGTCCTTGATTCTGTTGGTGATCATGACCTATGTGACAACCATTTACTGTTTAATTCTGAGGGCGTTTCCAAACTCTGTTGTGCTTCACAGAATCATAGATAAAAGGGTTGTGTTGACTTTGCTGGCTGTTGCAACTGCAGTGCAGCTGATTTTGACAGAGGCAGGTATTCATCTTGCAGTGACTTTGGCCAGTAGTGCGCCCTTAGTTTTGGTTCATGCTGTTTTGTGGGCTAGTTTTGATGCCTTTGAGGTTGAGACTGCTTCTGCTAAAGGAGAACTGGTTCCTCTCACTGGCCATGATGAAAGTGTTGCTGAGAATAATTCTGATGCTGTTTAAATTTTTGTGGCCTCAGTCTTCACTATCTTTATTTAGTGTTGTTTACATAAACATGATGGATGATTTTATTTTTATTTTTTAGAAGAAAAGCATTGTTATACTTCAAATAATATTGCAAAAAATAAATTAAGTACGTATGGATGTAATAAAAGTAGGCAAATGGATCCATATGCCCCAAAGTCCAATGGATTGTTATGTACCATTCAATGATAATTAATGCATCTTTTCAAAATTTCAGTTCTAAATAAATCATCTTAATTTCCAACTGTGGGGGGATGGCGAATTTATTATACACTTATATGTACCACACACATCTATGTCAACTAATATTTAGAAAAATTAAGTTTTATTAATTTTTACTACATCTTAATTATTATATAATAATTTTTGTATTTAATTTAACTACTTTTTGTTAATCTCATTTTATGACTAAGATTATTCTTAAAATGTAAATTTTAACTTAATTTAACTTTATAAAATCAGTTTATATTCATTTATATATTGTAAATTTATGTTATTTTTAGTTTATTTAAGATCTTTAACATTTTCTCACAGTGAAATATATACATATTAAATTTGAAACTAGATACTAATGATGATTTAATAGCAACATGATAACAGTGACGTAATAGACCTCATAGCAAATTTCATTAGGATACATTTCGGATAGCCCTGATCGCATCTTAAAGTGAGGTTTATATACTTTATATGTTGTAAAGTATTCTTAACTTTAGATGATGTGCTGTCTCAAACAATTACAACTTAGAATTTTCCCTTGGTTTGTTTTTAGAGGACATTAAAAAATTCGAATGGTTGCAAATCACCAGCTCGTTGGAGAACATTGTTTTCAAACAATCAACAAAGTCATGTCGAAATTTTCATCATTCAAACCATAAAGATAATCACCAGCTATAGACAATGGAGAACCCTATTTTCTATCTTAACCGACTCAGGGGTAGAAAAGTAAAAGACCAGCTGCCTTTACCCTTAAACGAGTAATACACACGTGACAAGAGAGAGAAAAGAGAGAAGTCGAGAGTATGAGAGGAAAGGTAGAGCGAGACGCTCTGCTAGGGTTTCCCCCCTTCTTCTACAAGCGTCAGACACAGCCTTCACACACCGGAATCAGCCAAGTAACCAGAGTCAGAAACAGCAAGCAACCGAGAACACACAGGTACTGAATAATACTTCTTCAATTTTTCATTAACAAGAATAGTATGAGATTACAGCTTTTATACATGAAAATAAACTGAAACTAACTGAAAACTGAAATATTGTTTTGTTTATTCTAACACTCCTCCTAAACAAAACATGATTTTCGAAGAAAAACCCCTTTTCACCGATTGAATCGGTAAAACTCTTGCCTCTGCTAATTCTAAGTGTTTTCCACCGATTAATATTCGGTAAAGATGCTTCCTTTGACCTTGGAAACGATTTTCACCGATTAAACTCGTGAAAACACTTTCCTCCAGGCAGATCTCCTCTCTGAGATGAAAACCCTAGGTTTTCATGGCTCTTTTCTGTTGACCTACACTGATCTCCACCTTTTTTACTCCGATATGCTTTCTAAGTATTAGAAAGCGTTCACCTTTCAGCGCCTTAGTGAGTATGTCTGCAATCTGGTCCTCGGATCTGCAGTATACCACTTCGAGCTTTCCTTTGCTAACTTGTTCCCTGATGTAGTGGAAACGAGTTTCAATATGTTTGCTCTTGCCATGAGATGTAGGATGTTTGGTCAGGTCTATGGCTGACTTGTTGTCCACAAGTAGTCTGACCTTCCCCTCTACTCCAATCTTCAATTCACTTATCAATGAACTCAGCCAAGCTGCCTGACATGTGGCTTCACAGGCTGCAATATATTCTGCCTCGCACGATGAAAGAGCCACTACTGGTTCTTTTATAGAGCTCCAAGAAATTGGTGCTCCACTTAAGAAAAATACATACCCAGCAGTACTCTTCCTATCACTTTTGTCTCCACACCAATCTGAGTCAGAGTAAGCATTAATTCGTACCTCTCCTTCTGATTCTCCTCCTGGCAGTAAAATCCCAAAGGTATGTGTACCTTTTAGATATCTTAGAATCCGTTTAATGGCAATCAGATGGGAAATTCTAGGATTTTGCATATATCTGCTAACCAGACCCACACTGTAACTGATGTCTGGCCTAGTATTACACAAGTATCTTAGGCTTCCAACCATTTTCCTGTATTCAGTAGGGTCAACACCTTCCTCTTCAGGATCCTTCTCAAGTTTCAACCCTACCTCTATTGGAGTATTAGCAGAGTTGCAATGAAGCATGTTAAACTTGTTTAACATGTCCAATGTATATCTGGACTGATGCATCACCAATCCCTCATCAGTTTTAGTGACTTCAATCCCAAGAAAGTAGTTTATCTGCCCCAAATCACTCATTTCAAATTCCTGTAACATTTGGACTTTGAAATTAGCAATTTTTTCAACACTGCTTCCTGTGATTAGCATATCATCCACATACAAGCATACTATTAACATATATTTTCTTTCATTATGCTGATAACACTGAACGTACACTCCATGTTCAGATGCACACTTCTCAAACCCGATGTTACTCATGAACCCATCTATCCTCTAGTTCCAGGCCCTTGGAGCCTGCTTGAGCCCATACAGAGCCTTCTTCAATCTGTATACTTTGTCAGGATGCTTCTTGACTTCAAATCCCTGAGGCTGGACAACATACACTTCTTCCTCCAGATTACCATTTAGAAATGCAGAATTTACATCTAATTGATGTAAGGTCTAGTTGAGTTGTGTTGCCACAGAGGCCACCAGTCTAATTGTCTCCATTCTGGCCACAGGTGCAAATACTTCTTCATAGTCTATTCCTGCCTGCTGCAAGAACCCTTTTGCCACCAATCTGGCCTTGTACCTCGTCACCACACCTTGTGGATTTATTTTGGACTTATAAATCCACTTAAGTGCAATTGGTTTCTTGTTGGGAGGCAACTCAGTTAATTCCCAGGTCTGGTTCTTCTCAATTGAACCTAGTTCTTCTAGCATAGCCTTGTACCACCTTTTGTCTTTCACAGCTTGTTCAAACTCCATTGGTTCAGATTCTGCTATCAAGGCATAGTGAACAAAATTTCCCTCTGATGAAACAGTTGCATCATAGGCTAGATCATAATCTCTCATATGTGCTGGTAGCTAAGTAATTCTAGATGACCTTCTAACACTCTCCTCCCTCCTGAATACCTCTGGTTCTGCTATAGGTTCATCTTCCAACTCAATGGTTGGTCCTCCATCTTCTTTTGACTCCCACTGCCATGACCTAGTTTCATCAATTATCACATCTCTGCTGATAGAAGTTGTCCCTGTTGTAGGATTATACAGCTTGTATCCACCTGTAACATGATACCCCACCAGTATCAATGGAACTCCTCTATCATCCGGTTTCTTTCTCAGTTGATCTGGTACATGTTTATAACATAGGGAACCAAAAATCTTTAGATGCTTTACATCTGGTTTTACTCCTGCCCAGGCCTCCTCTGGTGTAACCTCATTTAATCTCTTTGTTGGAGATAAATTCAAGATATAGGTGGATGTCATCACAGCCTCACCCCATAGAAAATTAGGCAACTCCTTGCTCTTCAACATGCATCTCACCATGTTTAAAATAGTTTTGTTCTTCCTCTCTGCTGCCCCATTGTGTTGAGGTGTGTAGGGAGGAGTAATTTCATGAACTATTCCCTCTCTTTCACAGTAATTTCTGAACTCAGTGGAGGTATACTCTCCTCCTCCATCTGTTCTCAGAATGTTTAACTTCTCACTTTGCCTTTCAACCATATTCTTAAACTGTTGAAACTGTTGTAGAACCTCACTTTTTCTTTTCAATAAGTAGACCCAACACTTTCTGGTCCAGTCATCTATGAATAATAGAAAATACCTGCTGCCCCCAAGTGTTTCTACTTGCATGGGTCCACATACATCTGAATACACTACCCCAAGTTTTTCTGCTGATTTATGGGGTAAGACCTTTTTAAAACTTCCCCTTGTTTGTTTGCATTGAACACATTCCTTGCAAACAGTTCCTAGAATATCAACCTTAGGTAAGCCCATCACCATATTTTTTTGGCTTAACTGGAATAGATCTTGGAAATTTAAATGTCCAAATCTGAGGTGCCACATCCATTCCTCCTTACTCTCTGTTGCAGTAAAACATTTGTGATCTACTGCCTACATTACTACTTTGAAAGTCTTATTTTGTGACAACTGAGCATGCACAACCACTATCCCATTCTGATTAAAGATGCTAAGGCAATTGTCCTCCATCTTCATCATGTAACCCTTCTGTAACAATTGTCCCAGACTTAGCAGATTAGTTTTCAAACCAGGTACAAACAGTACCTCTTCTATGATAACTTCTCTGCCATCTTCACCTCTCAGCACCACTCTGCCAGATCCCTCAGCTTCCAAACTGCTGTTGTCAGCAAATCTAATTTTCCCATGTTCAACCCCCTGCATTCTCACAAACCAATCCTTTCTCCCGATCATATGAGTGGAGCATCCCGAGTCTAGGTACCATACTGTGCTTTCTGGTTGTTTTTCATCATCTTGGGCCATCAATATCACTGCTTCAGAGTCTGAGTCTTCCTCCTGTGCCAAATTTGCCAATTTCTTGGGTTTATTTTTCACCCCTTCTCCTTTCCAGCACTCTTTGGCATAATGACCTAGTTTCTGGCAGTTGTAGCATTTTACCTTCTTCTTGTCAAATTTCCACTCAGCATCTGAATTCTTTGAATTTTTCACCTTCCCTGACCCACTAGACTCTACTCCTTGATGATCCTGTGAGTCTTTCCCTTTTTAGAACACTTTTACTCCTTTCTTGAAACCTTTCCAGCCTTTCAACTGTGATCTGGCCTGTAGGGCTTGCTCATGACACTGTTTGTGCTCATTGATGCGAAATTCATGAGCCTCTAATGAGTTCAACAGCTCTTCAATTTCCATGGTTTCCTTCCTTCGGGTCTCCTCAATAGCAACCACAACATTGTCAAATCTGGATGATAGAGTTCTCAAAATTTTGTCAACAATGTACTCATCAGAATTTACAAGCCCTCATTTTATTCACCAATTCTTGTACCTTATCAAAGTAATCAACCACAGTTTCACTCTCATCCATGACTAAAATCTCAAACTGTCTTCTCAATGCCTGCAATTTCACCTTTGTGTTTCTGTCTCCATCACCATAGGACTTCACTAAGATGTCCCATACCTCCTTAGCAGTAGCAGCCTTGGAGATCTTGTTAAAGATCTTTGGGCTGACACACTGGTATAACAAGAATCTTGCCTTGCTGTCCAGTTTCACTTGCAGCTTGTAATTCTTTTTCTCTTCTTCAGTAGCCCTGTCACTCAACTCAGGCAATTCGTCTTCTATCACCTCTGAAACATCTTCGAAACCGAAGATGGCTTGCATCTTGATGCGTCAGTCATCAAACTACTTCCCATCAAACACTGGTAATGGTCCTTGTATTCCTCCAAATCTCGCCATTCTTTCTTGCTGAAATCTTGTGGTTTCTTTGATTTTCACACAGCCAAAGACTCCTACTTTTCTCTTTTTGATACACCCACTTCCAGATAAAGATTACACACCCACTTCACAATTTCACCAGGAAACAGCCACAACTCTTGATACCATATTAGACTCAGGGGTAGAAAAGTAAAAGACCAACTGCCTTTACCCTTAAACGAGTAATACACACGTGACAAGAGAGAGAAAAGAGAGAAGCCGAGAGTATGAGAGGGAAGGTAGAGCGAGACGCTATGCTAGGGTTTTCCCCCTCCTTCTACAAGCGTCAAACACAGCCTTCACACACCGGAGAACACACCGGAATCAGCCAAGTAACCAGAGTCAGAAACAGCAAGCAACCGAGAACACACAGGTACTGAATAATACTTCTTCAACTTTTCATTAACAAGAATAGTATGAGATTATAGCTTTTATACATGAAAATAAACTGAAACTAACTGAAAAATGAAATATTGTTTTGTTTATTCTAACAAACCGTGTGACAAATTCATCCTATTACAAATGAGATTAGTCTTTCACCAAAAACTATGGCAGGAAAATTATTCAAATACCAAAAAATTCACCATAACCCAACACTGGAAAGACACCAAGAACTCATCACTTTGCTCCTCCATCTTAGCAAAAAGCACAAGCAAGAGCAGAACAAGAAGGATCAAAACAAAACCAAGAACCCCTAAACATGAAAACAAGATGCCACTCAATCTAAACGTGCCACAAGCGACATTAAATCCTGATGCTATAGCAACCAACACAGATAAAGAGTACAGAAGAGCAATGCACAGCATAGAGATAATAGGCACCCTAAAAGCCAAAGACCAAACCACCACTATTGTGTACACAAAACTCACTATGAACATTCCACTCCATATTATGGCCGGTAAGAACCCAGTTGAGGCTTGCCACAGACTTAAAATTGGTGTCTTTGAGATGTTTGTTGAGCTTGTTAAGGATTGGGATATATTCTGAAAAGGGTTACCCAAACCAGATAAAAGTGCTACTTGAACTCCAAACAACTTCACTGCTAGTGCAGCACGATGTTCTTGTGGACAAATTATCTCTGTTGAGCAGAACTGTATGAATTCTTTGCACATGGAAGCACTAATGTAAGAATCATTTTCTGTCAATCCTAGGCCTCCACGCTGTGAAGTTTTGCTTGTGTTTTTTATGTTTATCACATGGGAAGAGGAAGAAGATAAAGCACATTTCTTGTTTCTGTCCATAGTAGAAAGAATCAGTCAAATAAATTACTATGATTCTCACTGATGTTTATTCCGATACAATCAAAATTCTCATGTCACTTTGTGTGTCTCTAAAAGTAAATTCTTTATCCTTTATTTTCTTAACATGGCTTTTTAAAATAAAAGTGTGATAAAATTATCAAATACTAAAGTGCATAATGTTTGTAATGTGATAATCTTAATATCATTATAGTGGAATTCAGAATAGTACTGATTTCAATTAAATTTGAATATGATTTATCAATTCTTTTCCAGAGGAAAAAAACTATTCTGGGAATTCAAGATTTATAGGTATTGGAAATGTCCAACCTTAATTAATACTAAGGTACAATTTTTTTCTAGATTGAACAAGCAAATTAATCAGATAACTAACATTGTCAATGTAGTTGCGTTTCTTTCTCTGGTTTTTGGTGAGTGTGTACGTAGAGTCGTTGTTGTTAGGCTTTTGAATTGACTTTTCAAGCTGCTTTTGGCCCTTTTCCTGGTCGCTTTCTGTGATCCACTCTTCTTCATCTTCCTCCTCAATAATACAGGCTTTATTGTTAGGCAATATTTTATCATGCTGCATTGCATTTGGAGTAAAAATCATATATACAATTTAATGATCTCAGCATCCCTTCAAAGTTCTATATGTAATTCAAAAGGGTACTAAAATGAAATTATGGTGGTGATCTTACCTCATAATATATGGCAGTTCTCAAGTACGCTATTGTTCTCAGTAACTCCTTATTTGTAGGGTACTTTTCATGCAAACACAATGTATATATATGTTAGAATGGAGGGAGGGGGAAGAAAAACAAAGAAAACACACAAAACAGAGATGACCATAATGATAAACTTGATAAGAAGGAAGAAAATATCAGGGTAAGAACTGTTTAGACCTTTTAATTTTTTTGGCAAAAATGGTCAAACTGATACTCAGATACTAGTTTTGTTATAAATCAATGAACTTGTCTGCTAATTTTAGTGTCATAAGTTTCACTGAAGAGAGACCAAGTTCATCTTTTATGATAAATATATGATCAATCAAGTCACATCAAGTCACATATTTTTAAGATCTATGAACTAAATGAATTTTGAACCAAATTTGAAAAATAAAAAAACTCATTTAACCTACAAGATTGAATACATGCTTGATTAAAGTTAAAAGAACAAAGTACTTTTATTACAGAAACAACAATTATTTTCTTCTTCTATTCATACATTAGAATGCACAATTCGATCTCAAATTTCATTATGTAACTTCAGATCAAACATATTCTAACACTTTCAAACCTCAATTTGTTTCTCTGGAATTCTTCCTGCAGACCCTCGACGCGATTTCCTGTATATGATTGGATTTGGTTGTCTTGTCTTTGTTGTAATTTCGAAATTTGCAACACAAAAAGATCAGTTAAAGCAAATAAGAGAGTCAAGTTTTAATAAGAAATGCTCATAGAAAATATTAACTGCATAACTTGCAGAAAGCACAAGGCTACTTTTGTGTACAAAATTAAGTCCGATTCAACTGAGAGAAAGCAAGGTGTACATAATAACTTACAGGTTTTCTTGGAAGCAAGAAGTTCTTGTTTACACTGTTCTCTCTGACATGTTCAGGAACTGAAGAAATACTCAAAGAATCCATGATCATACGAGAGGATTATCAAGATGAAAAGTGTAAAATATTTCGCTTCCGGCTTCCAAGATCACACCACAGAAACTTTAAACCCTCTAGTCAATGTCAGTGGTGGAATCAATTTGTTACTGCTTAATTAGCTCATTCACAGAAGTTTCTTCCCCCTATGCTTTGTGTTTTTCAACGACAATTTTTGAATTTTCAAAGTACATAAATGATGTAAACGCCGACTTTTTTACTACATAGTTTTATTTTTAGTATGTGTACATTTTAGCAGTTTGGTACCGACATTTGTATAATTTTAGAGGTGGGACATGGACTATGATTTAGACGTGGAGATGAGATTAAATAATAAATAATATTCATATCTTTACTATAAATAATATAATAAATAAGAATATTATGAGTTTGTGGAGATAGTTTTTTTTATATTTGAGATTATTATTTTATTCTTCGATATGTCCTATAATTTCTATCTAACCAAGAGAGTCTTTCTCACTGTATACAAAAAAAAAAAAATAGTTGAAAACTTAAATTATCTTAATATTAATGGTAGTGACGTTTCCTTTGTCATTAACGGTGACTCAATTCTTCATTTGCAATCATTTGAATATTAAAATACATATGTTAGAAAACATTTACTATATGTTACACTAATCATCCTAAAATTTTCTTGATGTTAATTGAACGGTATCTCTTTATGATAATGATATTATCCAAGATCTTATATTTAACTTAATTTCTTGGACGAAAAGTGTTTGTGCAAAATTTAATGCAGAAATAAAATATAAAATTATGACCTCCAATTAGTTGTAGATTTGTTTGGTTTAATTAAATTATAATTTGGAGATGACAATTATACTGCTTTTCATATTAACTGTAATTTTACATTGGATAAAAAAATAAAATATATTAAAATTGATTGTCATTTTATTAAAAAAAGTTGTATCAAAAAATATAATAACTGAATTTGTTACCTCAAATGATTAATTAGTATATATTTTTAGTATGTTTTTCCATATACTTAAAATTAATTATTATAACAAGTTTGATACGATTTATTACAGTGTATTAAATGTTGTTAAGATATTAATAGTTACAATATTTTATGGTAGTTAAAATATTATATGTATTTAAACTTAACTTATATTTTCTTTTATTATTTTTCATTATAAATATATTATTTTATTTGTATTTTCTCCACAAAAGAAATTAACCTTATGTCTAATTTTCACAATATATATGCAAAAATATTGTCCTTTGCCTCAACCTTGATCACCTATCTTATCTACCTTAGGATATGGTTGATCACATGTTACTACCAAGGTTACATTAAACATTAAGAAATTTGTGAGAACTTATTAATTAAGAACGTATGATTGTGTGGGACATGTTATGTCTATGGTGACCGTCTAGGGTGATTACGAATCAATCTAATTGGCTTATATGTCGAATTTTGAGAACTAGCAAAAATAAAAGTTAATTATTTGAATTGGTGAACTTTTCGTTTCATTTATAAATGTTTTTTTATATTTCTTTTTCTCCAGTAATGTTTTACCTCAATTGTATGTGCTCCTCTCAGTACAAAAATATTCCACGAAATAATTCATGTTTATTTTAGCTTACTAAAGCCGAGAATGAATTTAAAGACTTTTAACATCTCATCAACTTAAGTAGTTATTTCTTATTACCAGATTTAAAAGTCAACACTGACAAAAAAATTTAAAAATACGTTTAAATAGATATATATTTAACTTCTTAAACTTTTTTATTTTGATGAATTTAAAAAAAAAAAGTGGTAAAATTATTTTATAACCTTTTAAAATATTAAAATTAGTTAAACCAAGCACATATTTTGTTATTATCATTTCGGAAATCAAGAAAATAAATACTATTTTTTTCTAAAATTATGTTCTTAAACTATATAAGTCCCTGGTTACCCAAAAACTACATAAATCCTTATTTGTTTTTTCAAAGTTTAAAAATTCGAAAGCTCACTCGAATCAACTACAAAGAAAATTATATATAAGTAAACAGATATTATAACTATGAACATTTTTCCTTTAATTTGCAAGAATCCGCAGCTACCTACCACCTTGCAATGGCAATTTAAAACCATATGTACACAACAAATCAAACTTTAAACATTATCTATGCCCTTAGCTCCACACGTACATCTATTATGACAAGCAACAGAAGCAAATTCTCTGGTACAAGAATCATCCTCAATCTCAAAGGCATGGTGACTAACCCACAAAACTGCATGCACCAAAACCAAAGGCACAGCACAAGCCAAAGTCACTGCAAGATGAATCCCAGCCTCAGTCAAAATCAGCTGCACTATTGCTGCAAACACTAGCAAAGCCAAGACAAACCTTTTATCAATGCTTCTGTGAAGGAAAACAGATTTCGGGTATGCCCTTAGAAGTAAACAGTAAAGGACTGTCACATAGGTCATGATGACCAGCAAAATCAATGAGATCTTACGATGAGGAATGAGGACAATGAAGAGAATGATCCACACAAAGAGTGTGTAGTATAAGCCAAGGTTCTCCAAGTTTCTGATGACACGAAGTGCTGCAACTTCTGAGGTCAAGGGCATGTTGAAGGGCCAGTAAATTTTGAAATCAGTGTATAACTTTTCGTGATGCCCTTTTGGTTCATAAGTGTCTAAGGTGGATGATGAAGGTGTCGTGGTGGTGGAAGGTGTTCTTTGTGTAGCTCCAAAGTCTGCCATAAGATTTGAAGTGCAGTTTGGAGGATCACAGAATGGCTCAATAGAAATACCTCTTCTGTTAAACCACAAATTAGTGAAGTTTATTGCAAATGCACCACAGAAAGTAGAAGGGTAGAAGTATGGTGGGTACATGTTGTGTAATTGAATGAAATTCATATAGGTATATAGAAGCTTTGCTATTGATTTTATTTTCTAGTCCAGGACAAGACCTTTTTCTCATAAAGACTAGGAGAATGTCATCAAGGAAATTTCGTAAAAGAAATGCACAACATTAGGAAGCTTCTTTGTTGTTTCTGATGTTGCTCTCAGTTTAACTTTTTGGACCTTTGTGACTGTGTCCATCCAAAGTAGCTTAAAATTTAAGAAATGTTGTTCTTAATTTATAATTTTGAAAGAGTAAGGAATGAAAATAATGTGTTTAGACAAACCAACTTGGATTTAGTGATATTTACACTAAAACTATATTGTCAAAAAAAAATGTTTCTAAAATAAATTTTTGCAAACACATATTTAATCACCTGGTCAGTAATAATTGCGATAAGTATTAAAAAGGGTATCTTATTTTTATATCTATCAAACAGAGGACTAATATGAAATGTGTGTACTTAAAAGAGGAGTTTAAACCACTGTTCATATTCAGTGTTTTCTACGATCATATTCAAGAATCCCAGACTGAAAACACAGGGAGAGAGATTCAGCCCTTAACTTTGAGAAATGTTTCGAATGTAAAATTTTAGACTGAGCTCTGATACCATCTTCAAAATTGATCGCCTAAAGAAGACGCTGTCTGGAATAAATAATGAAAACAAGTACATCCTTTTGGTCACACTCTTATCTAATTTTGACTATGATGTGCAATGTTACAACACGCAAAACAATTCAACAAAATTGATAAGTTTTGAGAACAATAAGAATTTGAAATCAAATTTAANAAATGTTGTTAAGATATTAATAGTTACAATATTTTATGGTAGTTAAAATATTATATGTATTTAAACTTAACTTATATTTTCTTTTATTATTTTTCAGTATAAATATATTATTTTATTTGTATTTTCTGCACAAAAGAAATTAACCTTATGTCTAATTTTCACAATATATATGCAAAAATATTGTCCTTTGCCTCAACCTTGATCACCTATCTTATCTACTTAGGATATGGTTGATCACATGTTACTACCAAGGTTACATTAAACATTAAGAAATTTGTGAGAACTTATTAATTAAGAACGTATGATTGTGTGGGACATGTTATGTCTATGGTGACCGTCTAGGGTGATTACGAATCAATCTAATTGGCTTATATGTCGAATTTTGAGAACTAGCAAAAATAAAAGTTAATTATTTGAATTGGTGAACTTTTCGTTTCATTTATAAATGTTTTTTATATATTTTTTCTCCAGTAATGTTTTACCTCAATTGTATGTGCTCCTCTCAGTACAAAAATATTCCACGAAATAATTCATGTTTATTTTAGCTTACTAAAGCCGAGAATGAATTTAAAGACTTTTAACATCTCATCAACTTAAGTAGTTATTTCTTATTACCAGATTTAAAAGTCAACACTGACAAAAAAATTTAAAAATACGTTTAAATAGATATATATTTAACTTCTTAAACTTTTTTATTTTGATGAATTTAAAAAAAAAAAGTGGTAAAATTATTTTATAACCTTTTAAAATATTAAAATTAGTTAAACCAAGCACATATTTTGTTATTATCATTTCGGAAATCAAGAAAATAAATACTATTTTTTTCTAAAATTATGTTCTTAAACTATATAAGTCCCTGGTTACCCAAAAACTACATAAATCCTTATTTGTTTTTTCAAAGTTTAAAAATTCGAAAGCTCACTCGAATCATCTACAAAGAAAATTATATATAAGTAAACAGATATTATAACTATGAACATTTTTCCTTTAATTTGCAAGAATCCGCAGCTACCTACCACCTTGCAATGGCAATTTAAAACCATATGTACACAACAAATCAAACTTTAAACATTATCTATGCCCTTAGCTCCACACGTACATCTATTATGACAAGCAACAGAAGCAAATTCTCTGGTACAAGAATCATCCTCAATCTCAAAGGCATGGTGACTAACCCACAAAACTGCATGCACCAAAACCAAAGGCACAGCACAAGCCAAAGTCACTGCAAGATGAATCCCAGCCTCAGTCAAAATCAGCTGCACTATTGCTGCAAACACTAGCAAAGCCAAGACAAACCTTTTATCAATGCTTCTGTGAAGGAAAACAGATTTCGGGTATGCCCTTAGAAGTAAACAGTAAAGGACTGTCACATAGGTCATGATGACCAGCAAAATCAATGAGATCTTACGATGAGGAATGAGGACAATGAAGAGAATGATCCACACAAAGAGTGTGTAGTATAAGCCAAGGTTCTCCAAGTTTCTGATGACACGAAGTGCTGCAACTTCTGAGGTCAAGGGCATGTTGAAGGGCCAGTAAATTTTGAAATCAGTGTATAACTTTTCGTGATGCCCTTTTGGTTCATAAGTGTCT